CTGGAGGGCGGCGGGGGAGGAGGCAAGTTGTGGGAGGAGGGGGGCGGTGGGAAATTAGAGGATTTGGAAGGCGGTGATGGGAAGTGAGAAGGTGAAGAGTGTGCTGGTGGCGGTGGTGGTGGTGGACCGCCTCTGCTTGAGGAAGGAGGTGGTGGTGGCACGCCTCCACGTGCTGGAGGTGGTTGGTGGGATGGGCTCCCTCGCTGTGACGGGCCTGGGATGGGAGGCAGGGGACCAGAGCGGCTTCGAGGAGGTGGAGGGTTTGGAGCAGAGTGACTGGAGCCTGGCACAGGAGGCAGAGGCCCTTGTCTGCCAGGTGGAGGTGGTGGAGGTCCACCAGCTATAATGCAATGGAACAAGACATGCATAAGAATTCAGCCTAAGCTTTAGCATATTACATTAGCCTGCAGGGAGATTAATAAGGAGGAACAAAGTGTGAGTCTAACCTCTGTTCACCTCCCTTTTGACCGCCTCCATGCCTCCAGACTGCTCAATGACATTATAGATGAGCTGGGAAGTCTGTTCATCCATCATCTCATTTTCACCGATCCCAGCTTGCGACAGCAAATTCAACAGGTCTGGGTCAATATTGTTTGGATCCCAGCCGACATGAGAAACATGCCTGACAGAAAGGAAATTAAAGGAGAGCATGACACAGTTTTACAAATAACAACATTCTCTCTAGATATTAACCAAACTTCACTGCTTGACATCAAGGCAACACATTCAAAACACTCACTTAAATCCACTGGGTGCCCCTATGTCTGCTTTGGAGAGTTTGAGGCCCTTTTTCTTGTTCTTATCCTTCTTGTCCTTCTTTCCTTTGCTGGTCAGAACTGAGGATGCAGCAGGTGAAGGCATGGAGCGGTAGCGTGAAGATTGGATATCTGGGTTTTGGATGTCCACTGTTGCCATGTGAAAAGAACCAGGGGTGCCAGGTGATGCTTTTGGAGGAGATACAGAGCACATGAAGGGTGGTGTTTTATTACTGTTTAATTTCATGTATATTGGTGGTTGTAAAAGTTACAGTAGAAACATGCTGAGATCAAAGATATACACACCATTTTGAGGTGGGACTGGAGGTAGGGAACCTCTTTCTACAGTAACCAGAAACAGGAGAAGAGGAAAGGAATATTATTACTCTTATGGTTTGCTCCTGAATGCAATAATACAGAGATTAGATGTATTGCTATCTCACCACTAGGCGGCGGGGGGCGCTGTTTCTTGTCTGTCAATAACAAGGAGGTGAGAGAAACCATTTTGCGTCACATTACCACACCATAATACAATATTTATTCAGCTAAAATACACAGTTAAAAACAATTGCTTATTGCTCAAATGACGAAGAAAGAAACTTTTTATGAATTGTTATTATTAATAAATCCATTAGTTCCTGAGAATGTATTATAATTTGTGTTCAATGGATACAGAAATCTCTTGATAAGGACTTACTTGTAAAATGTTTCAGATTTTTGCAAAGATCAACCGCATTTAAGTTGATTTAAATATTTTTCCAGTATCATATTGCAAATAATATATTAGCCCATAAATATATACAAAACATACTGCAGTTGCAAATATGTTTGGAATAAGAAAAAATAAAGATAAACATCAGGGTGGAAGCTATGACCTCTCTGACCTTGACGGTTGTGTCTTTGGTTGATTTTATCGATGACAGCATTTTGGAAAGCTTCTGCTTCCTGTTGCATTGCAAAGTTCAGTCCGACTTGACAGTCCTGCAAACAAGGAACAATCAAGGAACCACATAAAAAACAACAACAACAAAAACATGACTATAAAGATTTAGAGTGCACCACATCATAACTTGACAACAACAACAAGTTGGAGGAAGAAGTCAAATAAGGTTGCTTACGTCTGCAGCAAAGGTGTGAAAGTACGGCTGTGGCGATGAGTAAATAATCTGGTTATAGAGCTCCTGCTCCCAAACCTGCCTCCCTGTCTGTGGAAAAACATGACAAATATATCAATCCCTCAGTATTACTCATGTAAAATGTAAGTAATCTTGTGTCATAGTTTAGTAATTCTTCAATACACAGGACGACATTGGTTAGATCATCAGTCCAAAGAGGGCCTAAATATACTTAAACAGCCTTCTAATTAGACTCTTAGTATGATTGCAGCATTGTTACCTTCAAATCAAACATCCGTATGAAGTAGGAGCGCTGAGGGTTGTCTTTGACGAAGCAGACTACTCCAGTATGCTGCAGGCTCCATATGGATGGACTGTGAGGCAAAGCCATAAACAGCTGTGCAACTGCAGTGGCCACGGACTAGACACACAGACAACACATACATTGAAAACAGTTCAGTGCTGATAGGACACTTGAGATCACTTTATTGCAGCTCAGATGTAAATGTGCAGTTATGTGGTGAGGATTCACTTCCTTGTCTGCTTTCATTTGTTCAGATAACAATTTGAAGTGCTGGAATGCTCTAAATTTGTATAAGTCATTTAAACGTGCAGCCGATGTTTTTTTTGTTTTCTACTTCATATTCTGACACAACTTTCTTTAAAAGTTTAAAGAAGGTCAGGAACAAGTCAAGTTCCACTCTACTGTTAGACTAGGCCTGGTGTCTAATTCTGACACCAGAGGAAGAAACAGTTAAGCCACCATTTCCTGTTATAGCTACCTCCTTTTTGATGACCTAATGTCAGCAAGTCATTTTAAACTGCGAACCGTTGTTTCCTTTGCCCAAAATGTCAAAATTAAGACTTGAATTCAAGTTTAGCTGAACATATTAACTAATAAGGAGGAAGTAAACAAACAAACAAACAAAAAGGAACTCAGAAAAACAGTCAAACTACAACATGGTTGTTAGTTAAGATGAATATACAATGCAAAAGTCTTCGACTCAGGGTTCAACCACCAACTGTGCTCATTACAATTCAGGACATGATGTTTAACCACCAAGGTCTCGCAAGGATGAAAAAGTTTTTACATAGCAACAAGAATAACCTGTACTATATTTGTTAGCTTCTCTTTTCACTTTTACAATAAACTTTTCCATAAGAAAGGAACAGGACTAAAACAGCAGGTTAGCATTATCACAGTGGGCAATCCCCTCCCTGGCCAGTTCAGAACTTACAGCACACCTTCTGCCCACCAGCTCCTCCAGCTTCTCATTCTCCTGTTGGCTCAGCAGAGAGCTCTGGACGGTGTCCAGTTTAGATTTAGATCCACGGCTCATGGTCCTCTCATAAGTCTCCCAGTTTATCTTAAATTAAAAAAGTGTACAGCATTTGAAAAAGCGTCCTCTCTACGCTGTCAGAATACTAAGCTCTACAGTAAAGGAAGTTTCTCTTCTCTGTTCTGTGCACACATCAACTCAGAGCCGGAAACGGCCAACCACACTTCTCTAACCCCCACTTTTCTTCTTTCTCTCTTCGCAGAGCAGAAATGAATGTGTTACTTCCATTTTCATAGCAGAGGCAGCACACTATTGCTCTCCTCCTGCTGTGAGTATTTTACACAGATGTATTCTTAGTGTAGTTAACATTTTACTTGCATTAAAAAGCTACTCAAAACATTTATACAAATGAAAGACATATTTTATTGACAGATAACAACATTCAAATTAATTTAAAAATGTACAGGATGAATAACAAAGTCAAAATATCTTTTGATCAACTTTCAAGACAAAAAAAGAAGAGTCATTTTAACTTAAAAATCATATATTATTCACCATACTGAACAGTTTTTTGGACTGCTAAAACAGACACAGCAATTTTAACACTGGATTTTTTTTATGTACAATTGGCCTGTGCCGAATGTGGTAAAAAAAAGTGTGTTACCCCCTATTTAGATGTGACAGAATAGATAAATTCTTTGGTTTGCAGCTGAAGGTTTTCTCAGGAATACATAAAAACTTAGATGTTGTACAAACTACCTTTCTGTGTCTGTTGACTCACATGTGATTGTCAGTAACTGTCTGTTTGACCTTCATGGATAGCAGCTGAACACCACAAATTATCTGATTATACAGAAAAGGTCACCTCAAACTTAGCTAGTGATGTTAAGTGGAAAAATAGATTAACAAAATATCACATTAAGAACATTATTTAATCTCCATGTAAAATTCGTTGAAAGTAGATTGGAATGGTTGGTGTGGACATGCAGACTAACCCTCGCTGATAATACTTGGCTGAATCTGTGCAATTCAGGGATACTTAGACAACACTGCACCAACACATTTAAAGTCCTAAATGTGTAATGAAATAGCAGCTGATGAATGAACAAACTGAATTTTGAATTTGTATTTTTTTTTTTGCATGATAAAAAGCAAAATCCTGGGAAATGATTGCCCTATGGTATCAAATTTCTGTCCTGTAAAGGGAGGGAAGTAGATTGGACGGATTTTAGCAGTGACTGAGCTATTCCACGGAACTGTACACATCCATACTCTAAAATGGGATTTCCATTTGAGTCATTCTTTTGCCATTCATCTTTTTTTTGCATTTCTACACATGCCTCCAAACAACATCCTTTACTGAGATGCGTGACATAAGTTTTGTTCAGTCAAAACACACTGCTGTGTACTTAATGTTTCTGTGTTCTCTCCTCCATTAGAGGGCCTTTTGTCTGCCCCATCACATGTCAAAACACTTTCTTTATTGTTTTGCGGGGTCTTCACATATCCTTCGTCTTGCGCAGTCATATTTTCTGTTTGGCTGAGAACTCGACAGATCTGGGGTAATTCAATGACAGGGAGAGCTTTGGTTGGCATTCTGTTCGTAAGTTCTCTGTTCAGTCATGGTGGCTAGTGTCCGCCTCCACTTCGACTCTCTCCGGTCACCCAGTCAATGATGATAAATGACAAACTCATGATCATGAAGATGAATCCCAGCGCAGCAAAGCATGCAGCCTACAGGAGTGAAAGGAAACAACAATCTGTATCAACAACACATTAAAACACATAGAAATTTAAAAGACCAAGATAAAGGCATAGTATCCCTGATAGCTGAAGGAACTGAGTTGTACCTGAATCTTGGGTCTGGACAGAAAGGGCTCCTGTTCTTCAGGAACGATTCGCACATAGAATATTCCAGGTAGGATGAAGATGAGGCTGGGGGCAGATGTGGCTCCTGTAGACGAAGGAGGTAAACAGAGAGAAAGTGAGTTTATTTAAGGTTGTACGAGGTAAGTGATTACACAGTTTACAGATGACATAGTTCACACTAAACTTTGCAGTTAAGCCCACACCATATGGCCATCCTTCTTGTATAAACATACCAATGAGGCCAAAGATGTCGCGGATGGAGGGCACGGAGATAACAAGTATGTTGACCAAGAAGAGGAGACAAAATGCAATGCCGATGTGTACGGACCAGCGGAAAGGCTTGTCAGGGAAGAAGATCTGGAGCAAGGCCCTGCGGATCTGCAGAGGGAAGGAAGGAAATAGTGAGAATGTCATGCTGTTTCTTTAAAACATATGATCACAGGCATCCAGGTTGATAAACAAAACTATATGAAAGTAAAAGTTGAGCCTGCTCAACTGAACTACTACTACTACTGAACTACTGTTGAGAACCTGTTAGGTAAGGTATTGTCTGTCGCCATGCAAATGACCTGCATCAATATGGATTTGAATGTGATTGTGGAGTGAAACCAGATGTGCAACATACTTTAAAGTTCCAACCTACAGAGTGACGTTCAGCAGCAGCATTCCTGTGTCAGTTCAATAGGAAGCTGGTTAGCTTAGCTTAGCATAAAGACTGGAAACTAGCCTGGCTCTGTCAATGGCATACCACTGTCTCTAAAGCTCAAAAAATATAATAAAATATACATAGTCTGGCAAATAACCCCCCATAAATCGGTGACTTTTCAATTTTTAATTTCAGTTGAATTGAACAAATGGGACGGTAGACAAATCTTTTAACCTTTGGACAGAGCCAGGGTAGCTGTTTAGGTTCATGACAACAGTATGTGTTTAATGTTTTGCAGTGCGTTCTTCTCTTCAATTCCTACTACAATTGCAGTGTGTTGGCCTTCGATGTGTAGATTGTAAGATCTGACTAAACAACATTGTTAGGATGATCATTAGAAATTGAATTGGTTTCTGGTATATCCACCAATTAAGACTTTTTTGTCTCAAAAATAAATAAATAAACTAACTTATGAAAAAGAATAAACATTGCATGTCCCCTGGTGTAATTCTGGGTCCACTACTCTACCACTAGCTACCACAAGATGCCATTATTCATAATGATATAGATTGAATTTCAGACATTAATGTATGGCTATCTCATTTAAATATAATTATTTAAATAGAATTATATAATTAAAACTTCTTCTTATCTTAAAGACTGTTATTTAGGTCAGAACATCTCTTTACAGAAACTGTTGATATAAAAAAGTTTCACAATAAAGTAGAGAGAATATCCTTAATACAGTATGTGTGCAATATGTTTCTAAAAAATCTTATTTGTTAAACAATTAAGTAACACAATATAATATAATAATAATATCTATTTACCGAAATTTAAGAAATATTGTTTTCATTCTTGCTGTTTTTCATATAAATATTCTCACTAAGATAGATGTTCTTACCGGGAAAAGAACCACAGGGACAGTCAGAGTAACGGCCACCAGCACAGCCAGACGCACGCAGAGAACCAGGACATCCAGGGGGTCCACTCGACTGTAGGTGTGCAACAGCTCGGACTCAACAGCACCTACCCACAGAGAAGTAGATATCCCTTGACATTTCTCACATGGTCTAGTCCCTCATTCACAACACTTGGAAATGCATATGGGCTCTGAATACAAGTGCGTCATTCATTTTGAAAAAAACTTGCCATTCATAACATCAGAACAAGGTGACCATTGACTCTCAGGAGTAGAGAGTATCTTACCAAAAAAGGTGAGGTAACCAAAAAGAGCCGTCAGCAGGTACATGACAAACATGGCCAGGATGGAGATGTTGGCAACAGTCTGCATACGTTTCTTGGTGGCACTAAAGCACAAGGAAAGCAGAAAAATTATATTGATTGGACTAAAACTTTTCTCTGTGAACAAATAAAAGGAACCACATTTGGGATTTTGTGAAATGGACAATGATATTCTGACTTACTCTCGCAGCTCAGTGTAGATTGGTAGCACCTCTGGGTGGCAGACAAAAGCAAAGGCCAGAATTGGGATGGTGTATGCTGTCTAAAATCCAAACACACCAAAGGTCAATGAATAACCCTCCAAATATTACTTGACTAAAACTTAACAGAAATCTAAGTCAAGCGGGGAACACAGGCTTCTACACGCCTCTATGCTGTTGACATAACATGCTCTAGTGCAGAACATGTGGCAGAGAACCTGCTGTGCTAACCAATAAATTAATATACAGCTGACGATTCAGGAAACTAGATGCAGGCAATGTTGAAATGTTTTCCACTAACCTGTGAGTTGGTGGTAAATAGTTTGGCCTCACAGAAGTCGTCTGTCCCATTAATGACAGTGTGGTGATCAGCTATATGAGTTATGTTATGATCTCCCAGGGGACACGGGATGTTGAATTTCTTGTAGATAACCTGGGGAGACACACCCATTAGTTAATCAAAGATAAATATTTAACAGTGGAACATTTTGTAGTGTGTGTGTATCTTTCGGGCTCAAGACTCACCGAAATTAGGAAGAACACCATGCAGGAGAGGGAGAAGCCACTTGTATAGCCCAAGTAACCTGTGTTGCAATGATAATAAGAGGATGCAGAGTGATTTATGGTTGAAGACAGATTCTGATAATCTCATCTGTTAATTTCAGTACAGGACATGGAAGTAAACGCAACAAAAAAGGGTAGTGGAAACAGGACGTATACATGGGAGAGTATGGGGAGTGAATAAAACGTAACGACAGAATGAAAAACATACCAAGTTGTTTCATGAGTGCTAGAGGAAGAATGATGCCAGCGCTAACAATGATGATCAAGTAGTTTCCATTCAAGAACCACTCTCTAAGAGACAGTCAGACAAACAGATGAAAAAATCAGTACAAAAAAAAAAAACTACTGAACTACATGTGAATCACTGTCAGAATATCACTCTGACACTCACCCTGTGTTTTCGTGTTTATTTAGGAACGCTTGAATAACCAGTGGGAGCTCAGACTTGACGATGAAGAGGTAGCTAGACATTGCTAAAAGGAAGTGAAAACAGTATTATTTTGTGTTACTTACTTATGCAAATTTAATCTTATCCGATTAAATGCACCTGCTTTCACTTACAGACATCGGAGGAACCTACCTCCAATGTTGTGTACTGTAATGATGCATGCGGCCAGAATTTTTCCTGGGGGACCAAAAGCCCGATTCCCAAGCTGCTCATAAGCCCGGATGCCTGGAAAACCACAAACATTGTACAGCTATGAGTGTGATATGTTATGAATGCAGAATTGACTCTGTAGCTACATATAATGAGTTATGTGTGTTGAGTCTAGTTCTGGCTTACCGACGACTCCAGCACTTCTCAGCAGGAGATGAATTGAATATGCAGACAGAATGGCAATGGACACCAACAGGATTCTGAAACATACGAGAGCGGAGATGTGTTGGGAAATGTAAATATGTCTAAAATTTGCATGACAGAAATTTGTTGTAACAACTTGAGTTGAAACTGTGCTTATTATCTAAATAATTAAAGACAGAAAGAGAGAAATAAAGCTATTCTTTTAAACCTTTGTCACAGACAAAAAAATAAAATGCCATTTTGTGAATGTTGTATTTGTTTTGTTTGTTTTTTTTCCATCCACACAAGTGAGTTTGGCTTTGAGAGACTGGCTCTCCAGCTACTCTCCTACCCCCAGCCACATAGCACAGGACTGATCCAGGTAGGCGTGTCTTGGATCTGATCACTACGGGCTATTTTTAACCACTCAAATCTGATTTAGGGAAGCTGCGTGTGTATGAGCTCTAATGTATATTCTGACAGATCAGGCTTGGTACTGTAGCAGTTACATATACAGTATTACACCTCACTCACGCAGGTAAACAGACAGAAACGCATGCACATTCGAGCACAGAGCCCATCCCCCGGGCCACCACACATACCTGTCCAAACACAAGTAAGTACACTCAGACAGTCAGACGACACACACACACACATCTCTGTGGCCCTACTTCTAGCCTTATAAGGCACCTCTATTGACTATATCCAATCTGTATCCACTAACACAAACTTTAGCCTGATCCTGATTCAACTGTGAACCTTAAAACAAAATTCTAACCTAAAATAAAGATAAATTATAATTATATTATATTATAAT